CATACGCTACACAATCGAGAGCACCTATGTCATTGGATTAGAATTAGAAAAGAACATATTTTCCATAAGAATAGACCTTCTGAGAAACTTTCTTAGCTACCAGTGTTAATTTTTCGACTGATTTAAGAGTTGTAGTCCGATTTATTCACTGCGGCGAGTATTAGGAAAACGGGCATGGCATGGTGTGTAGAAATTACGCAAATGAAAGCATCTGCGCGACGATTTCATTAAACCAACGGCGTTGCTATCTCTGGAAGCACTGTGGCTGCTAATTCAGGAACTGCGGACGACATCGGCGTGGCAAGCCCTGTGAATTGGGGTGTTTTCGACGTCAGACTTTGACCGCTGCGATCATTTTTCTCGTGGAAAAGCCCGAGTATTTCGCGGTCAGCCAAAGTCGAGGTTGTAATCACCTCAGGCATGTTTTGATTCCTAATATAGAATAGAATATCTGGAAAGAAGATCACAGAAATATCAAACAATGACGAGGGCTGTCTGTGACGTTTTCCTTTGACAGAATTTAAGAAAATGTGTACTTTGATATTTATCTGTACTACTGGAAATCTAAGGAAGTTAGTTTGTCTAACTTGAACCACCCCTTAGGGTGAACGGTGATTTTCCTCGGGTCACTTCAGATGCCCCGTCTGTAGGACATGGAACCGATCCGACAATTATTTTAAACCTAAAAAATCAATAATTTTTTTTTTTGCATAGCTTAATGTTAATCCATTGCACTCAATTCGTACGAGCACAGCTAGCCGATGATAACGCCGGCTAGCCAACCTTCGCGATTCCGCTGCTTCTTTCAGGCCAGCTGTCCTGTATCGACATTGTGCTGCATAGTCAACTTGTACTTACGATCGGTAAACAGATGAGCTGTTTCAATTGGCCTGGTCAATCGCGCCTAAACCTACCACTTTTTTGAAAATCATCACTAATGCTGCTGAATCCTAAGAGCTGCAATCGAATGATACGTCGCTCAGTCAGGTGTAACGCGAATTAGAAAAAACAATTGCAAGTGGACCACGGGGTAAATGGGGGATGCTAACTACAACAGGATAACTGCTAATGTATGCTATAATATAGGCTAGAGTGGGTGACATATCAACTAAATGAAATCCTAAATTTATACTGACAATTTTGAAAAAATCAACATAAATTAATAAAATACACAACAGCAATATAGATGCGGCGTGAAGCCTGCGAGTCTATACTAGTACATATATATGCGAACGTCTGGCATAAATAATGTTTTCCTAAAAAGTGCGGGCACTAAGACCAGGTAAAGAGTAGGCTCTCTCCAAATGCTGAAATTGTCCTAACCACTGAACTATCGTTTTTCAATTGCTGCTCATTAGATAAAAGCTAGAGTACTGAAGCTAAAAAATCAAGCGTATATCAAAATAACCGAAGTCCATTAATGCATAGGCCTAGGGTCAAACCTATGAACATTATCTGGGACCTACACTTGCTTTTTATGCCACGGCGAGGATATTTCCAATAGGGAGCGTAATCATGCTTAGACTGATCCTGTTAAGTATACTGCCAGCTAAAGTGTCGAGTTTAATTAGTGCATTTCAACTATAAATCAAACCTGCAGTTTCACGGCTGTAGGTCCGGCATCATTATCGTCCCGCCACTGAGGCAATTAGAACTGCAGAAGCAGGAAAGTTGGAAAGCAGGAATCTCCGGGGATACCCGAATCCGAAAATGGATACCTTATGTTGGGCTCCATTGCTGTCTTTTTGGTAGTACACTAAAAAGGAAAAACTGTCTAGACGCTTCGTGCTAGATAATAGATATGGAATGATTAGATAGATAGAGTCGGCCAACAGATAATATGTGGGTTTCTAATATGGGTTAGGCCGCTAGATTTTGGGTACAGTAAAGGCACAAGTTTTGCGAAAGCGTGATTCTTGATTCTAGAAACGGCAGCTGCCAAAGTCCAAGTATATAGCTCGATTCTAAATTGTTGTGTTGTGTACGATGACGACGTTCTGTCCGCTAAAGCTATCTGTTTGAATAAGCCGATAGGGTATGTTGACCTGCATGGTCGAACGAAATCAATTTACTCTAAAACATAAACATATATATGTAAATCTTTATAACACCTAAATATCATAATAACAATAGGTATAAGACGTCTTATAATCTATCTGTGTCCCTGTGTGCTTACAGCCAAACAAGCATCATCACAGTATGTACACACAAAGTTTGTGCTTAGTGGCCTCAAGGCGCCACTTGCATAAACAGGTTCTCTTTAATTTTCCCCGGCTAGTCGCATAATTAGCTGTATAACACCGCTCAATTCGGTAGGTTTTTTTTTTTTTTTTTTTTTATTTTACTAAATAAGCAGTTTCGTACAAGCAGCGATGATTAAAAGAGAATGCAAATTTCTGTATTATCCATGGCCAGTAGCCAATACGTCAGAACGCTAACCTCCTGACTCGCAGTAAATAGAACTATTATATCTGCATGAGATCACAGTTACTCAGGTCATAGTGCCATAAGAAATCTGTTAGTTTAATACTTTGCGACAGTACGTATGGGTCATGCGAACATAGGCTGTTTCTGAACGTTTTAAGTGATTCGAGTAGTTTGTATATACTAACGATTGGGGAAAGTTCGTATATACCGTGTTCAGGGTTGTAGTCTTTAGCTTTCCAAGTTTTAAGCGAATGCCGATAGACGAGGAGCTTTTTGAAACAGATATACACAGAAATATTGTAGTACGCGGAATGACGGGTGCCGTCGGCACGGTTCCTATTAAAGACAGCAGGAGCAAAACAGCTTACAATTAAGTTCACTTCAGCCTTAATACATCCCGTCCGAAATTGGCAAGTGTCGGCGGAAACGAAAGGTCGTCGCTTCGTGTCGCTACGATAAAATTGGTAAAAAGACGTAACGCTCTTATTAGAGCGTTTCCAAGTGTACAAGGAAAATTGGGTCGAGTAAGGCTGCAACGCGATTAAGCGACTATTTTGATTGTGTGGCGTAATATATGTATTTATTTTATTTCATTCTCACGAGACACCTTTGCACCTCACTTAGCGCAAATGACATTGAGAGAACAGGGTCTGGGACTCACGGCGCATCACGCGGTCGGCATCTTACCGATATGACGTCGATGATTCATGAGTTTCTAAGTTAACCGGGTTCAATTGTAAGCCAAAGTGCTCAAGCCGTGAAACAATTCGATAGAATCGTTAACAAAATACCTAATTAAAGTCGCAGAAAGTATCAAGGCCTCTGCTTAAGATTCGATTAGGTTAAACGTTCTGCAATAAGTAAGTAGCATTAATAACTGTATTTTATCTAGTCAAGGTTAAACTAATTCAGGTTTTTATTGTCTGATCATCGCTGTTTGTTGATACCAAAAAGGTAAAGGAACTCTTTATTCCTTTGTGTAGTGATTTAGTACCGTGCAGAACGGAAAAGTGTACACTTATATGACAGTCTGAATTGACTTGAATTAAAAATCACCTCTATGAAAAAAGTGTATACATCGGTTAGAACAGTATATGACTGTATATATGATACGGGGTACAGAATATAGCTTTTCGTACCTTCACACGTGTAATAAGAGGTCCGGATTGGGATCGTGCTCCTAAATTATTCTCATTTTTCTCGTTTCTCTTAGTAGCATACCAGAGCTACAGTGAGATGATCCCAATTCGCAATACATGTTAGAAAAACAATAATATTCACTCGGCAAAGAAACAGGTTCCATGTTCTCTCTGTCGACGAACTCATGGATTTCTATCCAGGTCCTATCAACGATATACGCGTACCAGAGGCTCAAAGGCTCATCCATTCCTCTTAATAGGCACAATTATGCTTTCCAGCCTCTACTAATCCCGAATGCCTTCACCTCAACTTAGCCGGGGCTTTGATGCTATGACAGGTATTCCCTAGAAAGTATCTTATACGGATGATCGCAACAAGTTTTTTTTTCTGGAACCAAACCATTTTTAGGAGGTAGAAGGATAAAGCTTTTTGAAATACCGTGTTGGGGACAGTAGCATCGCTCCTTCTCACATTGTTCTTTTTGCTGCATACTCTTCATTCCTTTCCTCAAAGCTATCTGGTAAAAGACTCACGGTCTTCGTTTTAATAGTCCCAGGAGCCAAAAACTGGTAGCTAACATTCTTTGACAAGGGCCTGCCAAGGAGAAAACCCTTACCTGGCAGAAAAATACTGTCAAATCACAACGTTTCCTATGTATGTATGTAACGTATGGCAGATAATGGCTGATTGTCAGAAAAGTTAGTCAACGACTGGAGTTATTTGATCAAAGTCAGATCTTCCTACTCTTAGCGTGCATTTGCTTTGCTGATATATTGCCTTTAAATGAGCCATCTGGCTTAAACAACTAAAAATCAAACCCAAGATATCGCTTGTCGATCTGATATAATAGCATATGAAATATTTTCTCTGGACTCTTGCTTAACTAATATTGTAATTTATGTTAGTGCCTATATGGCATTTCTCGATACTCAATATTTTATTATACAGTATAGGATAGCAGTCTTTTAACAGTTAAACAATCGGTATTTTACATCGGCAAGAGCGGCTCATTAAGCATATTTCTATAGTAGGGTCTCTCCAATTGTCAAGTGACCTTTTTCCAAACTGTCAGTAACCTTTGGCCTCACCCTCTATGTATACTGCTGACCATGAAATATAGTAGGATTTGTATGCTCATGTGTGTCTTAGTAAATAATCCATATCTGCGTTATTGCCGAATAGAGAATGCACGACAAAGCCAATACGAATACAAAATAAGAATTTACTATTACAGATAAAATTTAGCCTACAAGGTACAAGCGTTTACATATGCCTGGGCATCTGAAATAATTACTTCCGTAAAAGCAGATAATTACTTTGTAGTTAGTCTGATTTGTTTAATGGTTCTGTTTCTAGCTTAAGCTTTTCAAACTTTGAAATGGCTTGAGATATCGAGTTATACTGCATGTTTAGTCAGTCGATAGGACACTCACTTTGTTTTATAGGCGTCCTCTTTGTTAAAATACGCTTGATCGCCTGGATGTCTTCGGTCTTGACAGCATGCTTCAGGTCTTTCTGCGACGCTGAACTCATATCGCTGGCCGCTGGCCGATGCGCGTCAACGGTGGCCAACGGTGGAGCTATCGATCAAGGCCTTTTTAAGTCAATCTGACCCAGCCAACGTGCGCGGATATCTGAAACTGCTCGACAGCAGGCCTCGATGTATTACATATTTTTGCCTTTGAACATCGAAACTGTATCCGTGGGGCAAATAAACGTTCTGTAATGCTGTTTTCTAACTTCGGCTTCAATGAACTCATCAATGAAGTTAAACCAGAACACCGTCACCACCAGAACTTACTTTTTGTTGAACATTCACCACAGAGGGGCGAAACAATACCTGCAAATTGATAAAAACACATTGACATTTTTAAATGTGGATAGAATACGTGGTGGACGATAATATATTGCCTATATTTCTATACTACGCCTCTATACCGGAGTGCGTAAATTTACCATATATTATGTAAATAGGAGGACCCGTGTTTATGACGTAAATAAGGCAACAGCTGCTATTCTGATGGTCTTTGGAAATTATTCAAAGAAACGTGCAAAGTTATAACGTGCGTGTAACTTTCGTTAACTTTTGTAAGGCGAAGTTTAATTTTTTTTTTTAATGTAAAAGCTGTCTCGCTTTACTTCCTAATAATAGTACATGCGGCAGTACGGTCGTCAGAAAAGCAGTTTTGAGCTACCGTGTGATGCAATGGCTGCTTAACACAACGTGCATGAACGTTCGCGCCATTGTGCACGGCCCAGGTATCTGATTTTGTCTTTTACTGTTCATGAAAAGATCGAGATGATTCGAGATGTTGTATAGCAATTATCGTAGCTATGATTTATTCGATGATAACGACGCTTATAAAGTGAATTTAAATGTTTCCCGTTCTTTTTTGATTATATATAAACCTGTAAGGAAAAGGCCTCACGGAAGAGCAGTGGGCTTTTCACGCAGAAATCTTTCTGGGTGGGCTAGAATATCGAAGTCTGCAGTGGATAACAAGTGGCCCAATAGGATAAGACGCGTTTATCAGGAAAAAAAAGAGAAACAAGAACACGATGCGTAATGCGGTGAGGCGAGAGCATAATTCTAAACACGGCTACAAAACGATAAATTTGTAGCAGTTTTTCAATTATTAGAGGGCGGCAAGGCGTAGGTAACATTGTCCATGAGAACTCTCGAACGTCGTACCGAGATGGGTGATCTTAGCTATCGTAAACCATTCAAAGACTCTGGGCTATACTGTGCACAAAAGTAGGCACAGATCAAATGAGTTGAAAATTTTCAAAGTTAACTAATTGAAGACGGGAGAAGATGGGCTGAATCTTTGAGACTTTCGAATTTCTGAGGTGCTCAGCACGTCTATCGGCTTTTTGATGGGAGACAGATGTCATTCAGGATGCGATTGATATAATGAAAAATGTAATTAAGGAGATCAAACGTCCGAGCGAAATAATGATCAGGGCCATGATTTCCATCCACGCTACAAGGACTCTATATTTTGTCATCGGGATTACGGCAGAATGGCAATAGCTTTGGTGATGTAGAAAAAAAAATGCTGACCCAGACAAGAGAATAGCGTTCGGATGAGCCACTAGGACATATGGCGAAGTGCCTTTGAAGTATCTATTGCTAATGTGAGTTCCTACCATGTCGAAATTCATCCGGTTTGAATCTGATAGCATTATGTCAACGGGTGCAAAAGAGGCTGGACATTAGACCTGTCGTGTATCTAGGCAGGAGACGCACTGCTCGATGCATGCTATGAATCCAGAAGCCGTCCGTGACGAAGATGGTATTAGAGTGCATTGAAAGCATGCCAAATCGAGTGCAGTCCCAGTTAGCGCCTTTTCGTTCGCCACTGTTTAAAATGTTCCGCTGGAGACACGTGTCACCATCAGAAAGTACATATTCAGTTCGAGTGTGCAGCTAGAAATCCTCGGTCAGACCAGACAGCGTGTGAGGCTTCCAACTGGCTCTAGTTGGTTCGCCAGCAAATGTGTGCTTGCACAGTGTACTGAGAAGTACCTAAAAAGAATGGACACATTCAGACCGAGGTCGTTTTTTAATTAGCATTGATATCTGCCAGATGACCTGACTATCTGTTTGGTTAGGACGGACCTTTGTACCTCGAAAGTATCAGTATAGGTAATATTGACAAATTGTCTATTAGTAAGTTATGTCTTCTGTATACATTCGAAGACTATATTCTTTCTGAATGCTGCGTCCGTTTGACATTTGCCTTAGAAATTAGAATTGTGCATAGACTATGCAATGCTAAGGCGGGTTCAACCGGATATCGATATCTCGATCGTCTCACAACAGTTTTCTGTGCTGGCGAGTTCCACCGGAAATTATGGTGGCAAACTCTTTTTAGTTCTTCTAACAAAAAATAGCCTGTTTAAAAGAAAGCAAGATAAACAAGTAGGAAGAGCAAATTAGATATATCACACATAGTAGAAAAATAGTACGGTTCTCGATAATTCATCTTCAAATAACTCATTTAGAAATGTATAATTTTCCCCTATAATTCTTCAGTGTGGATTTATTATCATGACGTGTTAATATTATCCGCAACGTGAGCCGATATACTTTATCAGTGAGAGAAGTAGTGGTTCTCGTCTGATAGAAGTGTTTTGATGACAGAGTAGCTATCTTCCGCGGTGGAAAGGAACCATTCCCTGCAACTTCGTATCAACACAAATCGCACAGTGTTTCCTGGGGTCATAGTATGGTAAATAGGCAAAATATTAACGTTTCCCAAGTTGAATATGATTACATTTAAGCCGTCTTGTCTGTTAAATGTAGTACTATCGCAAACACCAATGAGTTGCCATGCGTATCCTTAAACATGTCGTCTATTTAAGAGCCCGACATCCTATGCATCTTTAATAGTGCGCGTACGAGTAAGGGTTATCGGTACGGGCCGTTATCACCAACCAATCGTCAACTGTGAGCGATTTCAGAGGTTTAGGTGGATCTGGGATTATCGAAGCGGTCCTATAGAAGACCGTCTGGTAGACAACGGCAATATGGCAAAGCAAAAAAAAAACAGCCCGACCGATGAATCATGCGATAATAACTGTGTGTAGCTGGAGCCGATGGCGAAAAAGGGTCGGTACCTGAGACTAGATCGGAAATGCTTACCCTTTTAGTGCAACATCACAGTTCGCCCCCAATGGACCCCAAAGAAAAGGGCAAGCTGTATTCAGTTATTTCAGTGCTGTCTATCTCGTTTGGAGACGCCTGGAGCGCGCATGCCATTTCTATGATATGATCGCGTTCTTATCAAGAACACCGTCTCCATGAACACCATGGCGTACCGAGCCGCGTCCGTTCAGCCGTCACCCTTACGCACACCAGCCATGTCCGCCCGTCAAACAGTGCGATGATTCTCCCAAAAGGTAAAGGCTGCGGAGATGCAGTTGTGCAATGGATGCAATCTAAATTTCCCTGCGGAGAAATTTGTTTATTCCCATCCGATCTTTGCTAGCTGGGTTATCCTGATGTGTCCCGTTGTTTGGGTCGTAGGCCTGGCAGATGGCGGTTCGCGTGACTTGGCCGTATCGTGACTGGTCCATTATTGACATCATGCGGCTGTGAATATATATGGCGTTGAACTACAGGAGGAATAACAGTGACGTTCTGTCGTGGTAGAAAACCAGGAATTAAAAGGAAGTCTGAACCTCAGCTCCGTCGAACTTAGCTGCCTAACTGCAACAAAGAACAATCCTAAAGAGTCGCAGGTGCTGTTGTTAAATCTGGGATGTGGGGTTGTTGAAGCAGCTCTAGCAGGAAAACAGTAAGGGTGGTATAGGCAGGTGTTTGCCATAGGCAAGGCATCACGTAGGTTTTGGATCAACATAAATGATTAGGAAAATTGAATAGTGGTACAAATCTGAGATCTTATCAGAACAGAAAATTACCAGTCAATTAGCAGCAATTCGCTTATCAACTGCAGGCATCCATATGGGTCAGTTTAAATGTAATCGTTCATGCGGACCTTTTTCCCAAGGACATTCTAGCACACCGCCATGTAGCGTTTGTGCTCTTACGCGCTCGTTATTATACAAGTTTAAAAAACATTATTTAGTAATATCTTTTTTTTTTTTCATAAAGATTGTAAGAAGGTGGGAAAGAAAGGCTCCATTAGGCGGTTTTAGTTGCACCCCCATTTTGTCCAGACAAAAATTAAATACATAAAAAGTGCCACGAGGGAAGGTGACACAAGTAAAAAAAACACACCAAGATACGAAATGATTTATATATACAGATAAACGAGGTAAAATTATTTATCAACACCATTATCGACTAAGCTAGCTCTGAAGCGTTAGTCGTACACAGCTTTCAATAAGGTTTCTCAGCTTAGATCACGTTAACGCCTATGGGGATTCAGAATAGTTCATCCCGTCATTTGGATTCTTTGTGCGTTCGAATGCTTTTGAGTCGATCGTCTGCGCACCCCTCATTCTTGGAATAGTATGATATAACGGATGGCTGTGCTTGTGGAAGCGCCAGACCTCTAAGCCAAGAGACGAACGTCAAGGAAGCACTAATCGACGAGGCAACCTCAGAAGCTCAGAGACGGTAACTGCTGTTGTGTTGGGCTTTTTCCGAATCTGTACTCTCTACTACGTTAGCTCGATGCGTTGTTTGTGAGAAGAACGCGAAAATGGGCTTGGCTGGCGTTCAAGAAGACGTGCGTGCTCTTAGCCTTTTGCGGGACTACTTTTGTGAGTACATGCCAGAGTTAAACATCAAAGACCCTACCATGAATCGTTCTTCACGTATTTTCTTCTTGGACTTTATTTTTCTACATCTTCAATTGATTCTGCTGTACATGAAAAATAACAGAGGTGTATACCCACAACTTGCTTCCACAAAGCGTCTTAAACATGGATGGAAATAGCCACTTCGTTCCTACATTTTTAATGTGCCGTCGAAATTCCAGCTGATGTAGCACCGTGTATATGTATGTATATAACTGTAATACTGGTTTGAGTGCCTAGATAACACTCAATACGTAGTCAATAATTTTATACATTATCGACTGGAACTCGACCACATTTTATCGGATGGATCAATTTGAAGACGAGGTATGTACGTTGCTCATGGTCACTTACTAATAGCGTTGATTTAATTACTGTTTCGGTAATATATATATACTCTGCTGAGTTGTAAACGATTCCTTCTAAATCACAGACCCCGCAGATGGAAACTAATCAAAGCTTTAGTACCATAACATAGCTATAGTAGGCATGTAATTTCAATCGATAGCGACTTCTAAACAAAAACCAAAACACTAACGGCTAATAAAGCTACATGAACCTCACTAGCAG